TATAGCCTTGAAACATGCAGGCATATGGCGGTGGGACTGTCTGCACTCTTGCATCTGGCCCTGCGCTGTTAGGAAGGAGACTGCAAAGTTATTGACTGGCCTGAGCATGGGTTCAGTTCAGGGTGGTCTGAGAGATTTCCATGCTTAGGGGTAGAATGCACAGATGCTTAGCTGAATGTGTATCGTTGAGAGAGGTCCCTAAGCCCTGGGCATGTTAGGAACTGGGCTGGGCAACAGGAGGTGGACAGCAGGCTGGCGAGTGAAGCTTCCTCTGTATTTACAGCCGCTCCCCATCATTTGCATTGTCACCGCCTGTCAGCTCAGTAGCGGCACTCATTCGTTTCTCGCGGTTCACAGAGGAACTTGAATCCTACTGTGAACTGCGCGTGTGAGGGCCCTAGGTGGTGTACTCCTGAACAGGATCATCCCCAAACCACCCCCCCTCCCCCAATCCATGGAGAGATTGTCTTGAACGAAACCAGTTTCTGCCCGGCGGTCAGTGTCTTCCAGGAAACCAGTTTTGACCAGTGCCTAAAACGCTGGGGACTGCTGGGCTCCATGACGTAGAATTGATGTAACGGTCAGATAAGCAGACTCATGAAGAGAGATGGCGGAAGAAGAGGGGAGAATATGGGTCTGGAAGTCAGGACCTCTCCTAGAGTCCCTCTGAAGTGGCGAGGGCCAGGCTGTCTGCAGAAGTGTGTGTGTGGTATTTTTAGGTAACCCTCAGAACCTTACAGAAAATAAACACTCTGATGAGGCTGTGTGGGTAAGTCTAGAAAATTCATGTGAAATGGTTTAAAAAATAGCAATGGACTATGCAGATGATAATATTATCAGGGAGCCCCTTGGCCTAAATTGTTTTCCTCCGAAGTTTTACGTCCTTCTGTTGGGGTCTTTTTGCAGGATCACATTTTATGGGCCATACTGTTTTACAGTAGAGGTGCTTTTTTAAAAAACAAGTGACCTTTGAGGGACATTGTGTGGGAACGTTTCTTTTTTCTGAGTTAAGGCATGCCTCTTCCCGAGTGGACTGGGTGTAAGCTGGGTCATATTTCTGTGAGTGTCTTGGGACTGCCGAGAGTTGGTTATCCAACAGCATCAGCGTTGTAGTGGGGCCAGTGATCTCTCTGGTCCTTTGCCATTAGCCAGTCTGAAAATTCTGGTCCCCACCAGGGATCTTTAACTTCAGACACACAACTCAAGCCAAACTTTCTTCATAGAGCGGGGTTAGTAATATGTGTTGCCTCCTGCTTTTCCCAGTTTGTGTGGGAATAATAAAAGAAGAGTATATGCCCCTGAAGAAGAAAGAGAGCACATAAACATATAAAGGATGGTCACTCTGCTTCTCTGCCTTTTCAGACTCAGTCCCAGCACCCTAGCACCGTTTGGATTTGACTGTGGATTTGACTATCCTAGGGACCTCAGATCACAGTATTTTTTTATTTTTATTTTTTTTGGTGACTGACTTGCATCACTGAACTCAGCACAACATCCTCAATGTTTGTCCGTGCTGTGGCGGGTGGCCGCCTCCATTTCCGGTCTGAGGCTGAAGCACCGTTTGCCAGCATGAATTGTGTTGCTTTCGTGCTTCTAGTTGTGATTTCCTTTACAGTGCACTTTAGTGCTGAAGATCTATTTGTCAGCTAATAAAGGAACGAATGAATTAGTCAGTATTCAGCAAACACAGAATAACCCAGGGAAATGGGAGTTTGAATCCGAAGTTGTTACTTGTAAGAGCAATTGTACGTGGCTGTACCAAACTCCTGAACCAGTCACATGCAAGTTAGTCACGTTTGTATGGATTTATCATAGTTCAGTGGATTTTCTTTTCTTTAAATACCCCGGTTCCGACTCTTGTTACAGTGGGCGTTGCCTTGGAGTCAGAGAGCTAAATAACTCAGCTGTTTCCTGACCCACATCCAGTGTGTGTGTGCCTGCTAAGTTGCTTCAGTCGTGCCTGACTCTTGTGACCCCATGGACTGCAGCCCGCCAGGCTCCTCTGTCCGTGGGATTCTCCAGGAAAGAGTACTGGAGTGGGTTGCCGTGCCCTCCTCCAGGGGATCTTCCCTGCCCAGGGATTGAACCCGAGTCTGTTATGTCTCCTGCATTGGCAGGCAGGTTCTTTACCACTAGCGCCACCTGGGAAGCCAACCCACATCCAAATACCTTTGAGAAATTGCTCGATACCGCCACTCACATTATCGGTTGTAATATCCTCAGAGAAGTATTTTAGGTTTGTCATGGTTGTAACTTAAGAATTCTTGAGTGTTTACAATGATAAGCTGTACGTTTAGGGGAGGAGCTTGCTGGGCAAGATCACATATATTTTTTAATCTTCCTCAGAGAATTTTAGTTAGGAAGAATCTGATTAAAATAAAAGCAACTTATTTCAGTGTGGTGTAGGGGGGGTATAATGCAAGGTGTAATGAGCCTGGAAGCCCTCACCTCCTAGTTAAAATGAATGAAAAGCTCATTACAACTGGTTGCAGTTTCGTAAGAATAAGTCTCATTCTTATTACCAACACACAGACTTAGATACTGGCTGTGACGAGGTTTCAACGTGTTTACTTCCTCTTATACTTTACAGATGTAGACAAGCAGTGATGAGAATCAGGTCCTATCCTTGTTCTGAAGCACTAGTTGTGTCTTTCTGCTTCCTCGCTCTGCAGTTTGGATCTTTGCCATGGTGACCACAGGGTGAGGCGATTGAGTCACCCATGTGCCAGGTACCAGCAGCGGACGGCCACTGGTGTCTGAGTCCCTCACTCAGGGCACTTGTGCCTGATCATTAATTCTAGACCCGCTTTCAGCTTAACCATATCACCTCCAGCCTCTAATCATACATCTGGATCCCTGCCCTCTGTGCCTATGGATTGGACTCTGGATCTTCCTTTCCCAGGAAAATGGCCTTGATTCTCTGCTCTGCCTTCTGTGGAAGCTTTGTGTTCTAACTCAAGTTTATGGGTTCAGTGCCCATCATTGGCCACCTGACCAACCTGGAACCTTTGTGAGCAGCTGCCAGTTCAATGCGGTAAATTGCCTTTCTTCTCCAGCTCTCTTTCATGTCTGATGTTTGTCTGTTGACCATTCAGCTCTGCGTGCCATTACGGTCAGGCATGTGCGAGTATTCTTTTTATTCATTTATTTGCATCGGGTCTTAGTTGTGTCACGCGGACTCCTCTCTAGGTGTGGTGCTTGGGCTCAGCAGCAAGGGCTTAGTTGCCCTGCTGTCGGTGGGATCTTACTTCCCCAGCCAGGGATGGACCTGAGTGCCCTGCCCTGGAAGGTGGATTCTTAACCCCTGGACCACCAGGGAAGTCCTCTGAGTATTCTTTTCGCTTCTAAAGGACTTGTGTAGCAAATGCCAAGTAAACCAAGATATGACCATTTTTAGATGTTAGTCTTTCATTCCTCATCATTGAGAATAAAAGCCTATTATCAAGACAGTAATACACAATCCTCAGCCATTTCTCTGGGCTCAGTATACGTCCTCCAGCATAAACTTCTTTGGTCTTCAGTTGTTTAAAAGACTCTCTTGATTAATTGATTTCTCATTGATGTACTGTTGGCACCAAAGAGTATGTGTTTATTTGAGACACTGTGCACTGGCATTACATAATTAATTTTTATGAGTTCTACCAGAGAATATGTCTCATTTTCCTGGAAGAATTTATTTGGTGTGTCTTTTCCCCAGTGGATGCTAGAAGATGGGTTTTGTGTGTGTGTGTGTATACCATTTTCTTGCATTAAAAAAAAAAATCAAGTCACTGGGCCAAAATATCATCAGTGTCTGGAACACCTTAGAAATTGTGTTATGTATTGTGATATTGTCTTAATTCTTCTTTCTCAGTCATGGAAGTTACTTCTTCCTGATTGGGTTTCCACCCACAGTCAGGAAACAATGGTTTACCACATCCATCATTTCTGTCTGCACATTATCATGTTTCGAAGTTTTCCCCAATTAATCCTCTGGAAGCTAGAATCACTCACAGTTATAATCCTGTTATGCCTTCTTTATTTCATGATGTGCTTGTTATTGCACATCCATCCTTCAGCGATCTGTAACATAGTGCTATTATCAGCTCTTAAGTCTTTAAAAGCCTCTTATCTACCATTTTGACTAAGACTGATTCACTGCACTTTGTTGAAAATCGATCATTTTGGATTAAAAAAAAAAAATCTATCCCGTGTATTTGTTCTGGCTACTTTTGCATAATTTCCTTTTTTTTTTTTTTTCCATTTAATCAATCTGCCAAGCTAGTTTGCTTTCTCCTTTTTGGCTTCCTTTCTCTTTCCCTTTTTAAGAATTGTCTCTCTCTTCATTTCTCCTTTCCTCTTTGGGTAATGCCTCTGGAAAGAAAAAGCCAGTTGCAGGAGGCAGTGGAATAAATTCTTCAGAACCAGGCTAGACACTTACTCCCATTTCTCTTTTTATAAAATGAGAGAGAATGTCCCTTTCCTTGATGGCCCTCCTTATAAGCAGTTTCTAGGGTGAAAGCTTCATGATTTGACTATTGGGCATTTAAAAAAAATTTATTTATGTGTTTACTGCTGGCTGCGCTGGGTCTTTGCTGCCACGTGTGGGCTTCCCTCTAGCTGCAGTGAGCACGGGCTGCTCTCTGTTGGGATGCGCGGGCTTCTCACTGCAGTGGCTTCTGTTGTCGTGGTGCACAGGCTCTGGGGCACTGGGGCTTCCGGAGTTGTGGCTCCTGGGTCCTAGCGCTCGGGCTCAGTATTTGTGGCGTCTGGGCTTAGATGCTTCATGCCATGTGGGATCTTTCAGGACCAGGACTGGAACCCATGTCCCCTGCACTGGCAGGCAGATTCTTATCCACTGCACCACCAGGGAAGTCTAACTGCCAGGCATTTTGCAGGCATTATAACAGGCTTCTTATTTATAGCCTCAATCTCCTCTACATACTAGTTTTCCTGGGTGAACTCAAACTGAAATACCAGAGTTCTTTTGGACATACTAACAGTGTCTTTTCTTCTCCTAGGTACTGACTTTAGCATAGATAGCTTACCTCTGCCTCGGAAAGCCCATCACGACTGGGCCCTTTTTCACGAAGAGTCTCCAAAAAATAATTATAAGCTCTTTCACCAGCCAGTCATCACCTTGTTCAACTACACCGCCACCTTCAGCCGGCATTCCCACTTGCCACTAACCACCCAGTACCTGGAGGGCACGGAAGTCCTGACGTCCCTCCGATACCTGGTCCCCTTGTGGTCTAAAAACAACCTCCGGAAGATCCTTGCTCCCCTGGTGTATGTACAGTCCGACTGTGACCCGCCCTCAGACAGGGACAGTTACGTTCGAGAGCTGATGACATACATTGAGGTCGATTCCTATGGCGAGTGTCTGCGAAACAAACCTCTCCCTCCACAGTTGAGCAATCCAGCCTCTATGGATGCAGATGGCTTTTACAAGATCCTTGCCCAGTATAAGTTTATCCTTGCTTTTGAGAATGCGGTGTGTGATGATTACATCACCGAGAAGTTCTGGAGACCTCTGAAACTGGGGGTAGTCCCTGTGTATTACGGATCCCCCAGCATCGCAGACTGGCTTCCAAGTAATAGAAGCGCTGTCCTGGTATCAGAATTTTCTCACCCTAGAGAACTGGCAAGTTACATCAGAGCGCTGGATCAGGATGACAGACGCTATCAGACCTACATAGAATGGAAGCTGAAGGGTGAGATCTCAAATCAGCGACTTCTCACCGCGCTCAGGGAACGGAAATGGGGGGTGCAGGACATTAAGCAGGACAACTACATCGACGCATTTGAGTGTATGGTGTGCAGCAAGGTGTGGGATAACATTAGGCTCCAGGAAAAGGTAAGTGAGCCCAGGTTTGGCAGAGAGGTGCTGGGGTGGCCGTCTTGATGTTCTCTGCTGCTCTGCATTCTTCTGTTATAGCTGCCTCATCACTGGTCCTCACTTTTATCAGAGAGGCCAGGCTCTGCGGGAAGGATGGATATTTCATTTCTATTTGAGGAGTGCCATGAAGTTTGCTAGTCTATCCTGAAGGCTTTAAATTCTTCTTTATTGTTTCTTCTGGAGGATATCACACTACAGGTGCTGGGCAGTGATGCACGAAAGCTGTAGGTGAGGCATCAAGGCCAAAAAAATTTTTTAATGGAAAGTTCTGAATCTCATCCACATTTTCAGTCCTTCAACCCAGTGGTCCCCAGCCTTTTTGCATCAAAGACCAGTCTCATGGAAGATGATGTTTTCATGGACCAGGGGACAGTGTGGGGAATGTTTTGGGAACACTCAAGTGCATTATATTTATTGTGCACTTTATTGCAGTTATTATTGCATTGTAATATATAATGAAATAATCATACAACTCACCATAATTCAGAATCAGTGGGAGCCCTGAGCTTGTTTTCCTGCAACTAGAAAACATCTGAGGGTGACAGGAGACAGTGGCAGCCACTCCCCAGGGCTAGCAGCACCGCTTCAGCTCCACCTCAGATCATCAGGCGTTAGATTCTTACAAGGGGCACCCAACCTAGATCCCTCACAGGTGCAGTTCGCAGTAGGGTTCGCTCTCCTGTGAGAATCTGATGCCAGTTGAGTTGGTCTAGTCAAGTGCCGAATCGCTTCAGTTGTATCTGACTCTTTGCGACCCTGTGAACCATAGGCCAGGCTCCTCTGTCCATGGGATTCTCCAGGCAAAATTACTGGAGTGGGTTGCCATGCCTGCCTCCCGGGGATCTTTCTGACCCAGGGATCAAACCCGTGTCTCCTGCATTGGCAAGCGGGTTCTTTACTGCTGGTGCCACCTGAGGGTCTAGTCAAGAGCTGACCTAAATTTGGGTTTGCAGAACTTCTCTGGTAGTCCAGTGGCTAAGACTCTGCCTTCCATTACAGAGGTGAGGGTTCCACCCCTGGCCAGGGAACTGAGACCCCACATGCCACGGGGTGTGGCCGAAAAAGAGAAAAAGAAAGGTCTGTGTTGCTACTGTTACGTTTAGCGCTCTGCAGCTTCAAATTATTCCAGTATTTATAATTGTAGTAATCAGTAATTAAATATTATCATTATTAACTCTGATGATTACCTGTACTTACAGTGGGACCTGGCACTAAGTGGTTTTTCTCAGGCTTTCCCCCACCCTCAGCTTTTGGCAGGTCCTGTATGGACGGGTCACAGGGTGGGGTCTCCCTTCTCTTGCTCCTCCATGAGCAGTAAACTGCTGTTGCTTGTTGCTCAGCGATTGGCTCGTGGCGTGGGCAGGGTGGGTTCTTTGTTTTCTTGGCAGCATCAGGCTTAGGTTTTTGCATTCCTGGAGCTCAGGAGTGAAGCTTTCTCAGTGTTCTTGCCTCTCCTTCAAGCCAGACTCTGCCTTGCGCCTGTGGTTGGTTTGGATGGATGAGAGTTCTGTGTCCCTTTAGGGGTAGGTGACCTCTGGTATCATGGTGGGATCCTAGGTCCAGATTGGTTTCCAGCCTCCCCTCAGACCATGAGACAGGGGAATTTTGTATGGGGGAGTGGTAGCTTTTCATCCCTTGGATCCGAAGATAAAAGGTTAGCTCCTGCTTCCTCAGTGTCGTAAGGCTTTTTCTCTTTGTGAGGGAAGGTTCTGGGGAGATGGAAGGGGCTTCCGGACGTCGCCCTCCCTGCCCTGGGCCAAAGAAGGAGGCTGTTTCCAGTGTTTTGCCCTGGCCCCAGTCTTCTTCCTGGGCATCTGATGGAGGCACATGGAAAAAGCTTTTGGGGCCTTCCTGCTGGTTCAGTCGTTAAGAATCTGCCTTGCAATACCAAGGACGTGAGTTTGATCCCTGGTCTGGGAACTAAGATCCCACATTCCATGGAGCAACCAAGCCCATGTGCCCCAGTTACTGAGCCTGTGTGCAACTAAGACCCAATGTTGCCAAATAAATAATAATTTTTTTAAAAAGAAAAAGCTTTTGAGTGAGTTTGACCTCTTTTTTGGTGTAACCCAGCTATTCCAAACTAACATGGTAGCCCATACCTATAAGGATTTGTTAAAATTTTAGTTGATTTCTTGTTACCTACTTTGTGGTAGCCACCTCCTTCTCCTGTGTTCTGCAAAAGGTGAAATTGATCCTGTGTATATCTTTCCTGAGAAAAACATGGCACTTTGGGATTCAGTTCACTTGGTTGTTGTGTGATCTTGGTACCCTGACGAACTCAAGAAGAGTTACAAATTTGTAGATTATCTGACTTTTTCCTTATTGTTAAAATAGGAGCCACGTTCTCCCTGGAAGCAAAATATTTATTAATTGTAGTTTAGAAACAGCTTGTTTTTCTGCCCAAGACTTCAGCTGGAAAGGCAATTTGGGATGCTGAAAGTTAGTTACTACTAAACATGCCATAACTATTTCATCAGACACACTTTCTTCAGGTCACACTATGAAACATTTCTGGAAGAACACTAGAGTTAGAAGAATCCATTTCACAAGATTCCTTTCTCTGTGATGTCACCTTTAATGGGACTTGATCCTAGACCATTGGAAGAACTCTCGAGTGGGCAGGCAGGGAAAGAGAGTACTACTACTGACTTTCTCCTGTAGACAGTTACGCAAGGTCAGGGCTGGGAAGGCCACTGAAGGTGGTGTGGTCAGTACAGATGAAACTGATGTTTCAAATGTCATGACCAAGTCATCTGCTAATTTATGTTACATTTCCAGGGCTGGCGATTTCACCATTTTTTAGGGCAGCAAATCTTATCTTTTGTTAAGTTTCTACAGTTATACCAGTCTTTGTATTGAACCAAGACTTGCCCTTCTATAGTTCTTTCTTAGCTACCGCGTTTGACTCTAATGTAGTGAGATACAGTTTTGCATGTGTGACCATCAGTCAGGAAAGATGAGCAATGGCCTTTCCAAAGCTGTTTTGTAGTAGTCGGTTGGGGTTCTCCTTATTTGATTGTGGTCTTGCTCCAAATACAGTCTCTCCCCAACCATGAATTCTGGTTGTAGTAACCCCATGTTTGAGCCTGCATCTAATCCTTTGAACTTTGAGTTGGTATTTATTTGGCTACACCAGGTCTTAGTTGCAGCATGCAACAAGGATCTTCACTGTGGCATGTGGGACCTTTAATTGTGGCATGTGGCATCTAGTCCCTGATCAGGGATCGAACCCAGGAGCATAGAGTCTTAGCCGTTGGACCATCAGGGAAGTCCCTGGATGGGTATTTAGACTCCCCAGATTGTAAGTCTTAGCATTTTCTTGTGGTTTGTCATTTGGATTCCTGTCCTGGTTTTCTGTGCTCAATTTTGTCTTGGTAAACAATCCTTACTCTTGTTCCAGGCTCTTGGAAGCCAAACTCCATGACCATCTGTGAGTAGTTATCAAGAGAAGAGAGAGTTTAGGCAACCTTATCCTTCATGCTCTACCAAACAAGTTAGTTCACTCTTCGTTTGTAATCTCTTTAGATGCTTTAAAACAAGCTTTATGTTCACTCAGAGTCACCTCTTTTACAGGCTAAACATCTCTAGTGTATTTCAGATTGGTTTTTCTGCTCTGCTCTCTAAATTTGGTATGGACGAAGAGTAATCATTGCAGACCTGACTATTATCGACTCTAATATCTTCACATTAAAATTTTTTTTAGCACTTCCTGGGTGGTTCAGTGGTTAAGACTGTGCTTCCAATGCAGAGGCTGTGGGTTTTTCCCCTGGTTGAGGAACTAAGATCTCACATGCCACGTGGTGTGGCCAAAAGATAAAAAAAAATTTTAAGAAAAAGATATACAGGTACAAGTATATCTTGTACTTGTTTCAGATAGTTCTGCAAAGTTAGTTCAAAACAAAGCAATCTTCTACTTCTTTTTCCTTTTCTCCTTCCCTAGAAGGCAGCCACTTACCACCAGCCATGTGTTGTGCTCAGGTGTGTCCTACCCCCTTGAGCCCCACGGACTGAAGCCCACCAGGCTCCTCTGTCCATGGGATTTCCCAGGCAAGAATACTGGAGTGGGCTGCCATGCCCTCCTTCAGGGGATCTTCCCAACTCATGGATCGAACCCCACGTCTTCTGCATTGGCAGGAAGATTCTTTACCACCTGGGAAGCCACTTACTACCATACTTAGCTAATTATTTTAGTTATTACTCAATGTTTCTAAATAATATGCTCTTATACACAATTTTTAAAAAATATCCACTGTTTATATGATCATGTAACTTATGTAGAGATGAACCATGTAGTATACTATGATTTACTCCCTTACCTGTACAGCTTTTGGTTTCCCTCGAGTTAATAACTGTCTTATTTCTTGTTTGTTTATTTTATTCTTTTACATAACTAATCCAATCCTCGTTGATTGTTTAAACCTCCTTTGAAGATGTTCAGCTATTCCAGGCATTCAAATCATTTCATCTTGTTGAATAAATCTCTCCAGGAGCCTTGTGACATATATTAGGTACATCTGGTTGCCTTCTACACTGTGTAGAGACCACCCTGAGATCTCCCTTCCCTAGCATTTTGGGAATTGCCTTTCCTGTCTTTTTCTTTTATGTTGACACCTCTGTTTCGTGTATGTTTTTCTCCTTTTCTCTTAACTTTCTTTCTTTGTATTTGGTTGATTGTACCCTCATCCTAAAAGGTGATGCTGTGAAAATGCTGCATTCAATATGCCAGCATATTTGGAAAATTCAGCAGTGGCCACAGAACTGGAAAAGGTCAGTTTTCATTCCAATCCCTAAGAAAGGCAATGCCAAAGAATGTACAAACAACCACACAAATGTACTCCTCTCACACATGAGCGAAGTAATGCTCAAAATTCTCCAAGCCAGGCTTCAATAGTACATGAACTGTGAACTTCCAGATGTTCAAGCTGGATTTAGAAAAGGCAGAGCAACTAGAGATCGAATTGCCAACATCTGTTAGATCATCAAAAAAGCAAAAGAGTTCCAGAAAATCATCTACTTTTGCATTATTGACTACACCAAAGCCTTTGACTGTGTGGATCATAACAAACTGTGGAAAATTCTTCAAGAGATGGGAATACCAGACCACCTGACCTGCCTCCTGAGAAATCTGTATGCAGGTCCAGAAGCAACAGCTAGAACTGGACATGGAACAACAGACTGGTTCCAAATTGGGAAAGGAGTACGTCAAGGCTGTATATTGTCACCCTGCTTATTTAACTTATATGCAGAGTACATCATGCGAAATGCTGGGCTGGATGAAGCACAAGCTGGAATCAAGATTGCTGAGAGCAATATCAATAACCGCAGATATGCAGATGACTTCACCCTTATGGCAGAAAGTGAAGATGAACTAAAGAGCGTCTTGATGAAAGTGAAAGAGGAGAGTGGAAAAGCTGGCTTACAAGTCAACATTCAAAAAACAAAGATCATGGCATCTGGTCCCATCATGGCAAATAGATGGGGAACAATGGAAACAGTGAGAGACTTTATGTTTTGGGGCTCCAAAATCACTTCAGATGGTGACTGCAGCCATGAAATTAAAAGATGCTTACTCCTTGAAAGAAAAGCTATGACCAACCTAGACAGCATATTAAAAAGCAGAGACATTACTTTGCCAACAAAAGTCCATCTAGTCAAAGCTATGGTTTTTCCAGTAGTCATGCATGGATGTAAGAGTTGGACCATAAAGAAAGCCGAGGGCCAAAGAGTTGATGCTTTTGAACTGTGGTGTTAGAGAAGACTCTTGGGAGTTCCTGGGACTGCAAGGAGTTCGAACCAGTCAATCCTAAAGGAAATCAGTCCTGAATATTCATTGGAAGGACTGATGCTGAAGCTGAAACTCCAGTACTTTGGCCACCTGATGAGAAGAACTGACTCATTATAAAAGACTGTGATGCTGAGAAAGATTGAAGGCAGGAGGAGAAGAGGATGACAGAGGATGAGATGGTTGGATAGCATCACCGACTTGATGGACATGAGTTTGAGTAAGCTCCAGGAGTTGGTGATGGACAGGGAAGCCTGGTGTGCTGCCGTCAGTGGGGTCACAAAGAGTCAGACATTACTAAGTGGCTGAACTGAACTGACCCTCATATAGCTTCTTGACAAAGGATGTATGAGAGATGTCTGAAATGTCTTTATTTGATTCTAACATTTAAGCTATAGTTTAGCTGAATGTAAACTACTAAAATGGACATTAGTCTTTTTTTGTTTTTTCAGAATTTTGAAGGCATTTTGTTATTGGCTTTCTTTAAATTTTTTTTTAACTTTTGAAAGGATTACGGATTGATAGAAGGTTTGCAAAGATAGTGCAGAGTGCCAGAATTATTTTCTAATGTTAATACTTTACATAGCCATGCACATTTATCAACATTGAGAAACCAATATCAACTGTTAATACTACAATGAACTGCAGTACAGACTTGAGTCCTATTTCTCCAGCTTCTACACTCACATCCTTTGTCTGTTCCAGGATTGGATCCAGGATACCAGATTGTAGTTACTCCTCATGTCGCCTTAGACGCCTTCAGTTTGTGACAGTTGTGCCATCTTTCCTTGTTTTTTTAATAACTGACATTTTTGAAGAAGACTGGTCAATATATTCTGCAGAATGTTCCTCTATAGAGTTTCTCTGATGTTTTCTCATGTTGAAACTTGGGTTTTGGATTTGGGGGAATAAGAGGACAGAGGTGAAAAGGCCCTTCTCATTATATCATGTCAGAGGATGAGTGATATCAACATGATGTTTTACTGGTGATGCTCTCTTTGATCACCTGCTTAAGGTGGTGTCTGCTAGGTTTTTCCTCTCTGAAGTCACTAATTTTCTCTTTACACTGAGCGAGTCAGTAAATCCAGCCCACAGTCAAAGAGAAGGGAATTAAGCTTCACCTCCTTGGGGGAGGAATATAAACTAATTTGAGGATATATATATTTTTTAAATTAATTAATTATTTGGCTGCACTGGGTTGCCACACGTGGGGTCTTTGATCTTCATTGCAGCATGCAGAATCTTCAGTTATGGCAGGTGGGATCTAGTCCCCTGACCAGGGGTTGAACCCAGGCCTCTTGCATTGGGAGAATGGAGTCTTAGCTACTGGACCATCAGGGAAGTCCCTGGACATATGTTGAAACCACCACAATAATTAGTAAATATCTGCGGGGAGATGTTTCGAGGCTGTGCAACTCTTCTTTTTCTCCTTAAAGTTGTACTTACTAGTGTTAATACTCATCGATGAATTTCACCACTGCTTTTTAACTTCTAGTGTTACTGTCCAGACATCCAAAACCATCCTAGCTTCTGACCTTCCGAATTGATCTTTCCGTTTCAGGAAGTTTGTGGAATCCCTTCCTTTTCTCCTGTGTTGTAAAACTCCATAAAAATGTGCTTTGTTCTGAGGGAGTCGCTGAATGGATTGAAGGACTGAATGAGACCACCTGTGAAACCCGCCTAGCAGAGTATCTAGTGCATGTGTGTTTTGAGTGCTCCGTCATTGCCATGTCTGACTCTTTGAGACCGCGTAGACTGTAGCCCACCAGGCCTCTCTGTCCATGGGATTTCTCAGGCAAGAGTACTGGAGTGGGTTGCCATTTCCTCCTCTAGGGGATCTTCCCGAGCTATGGATCAAACTCATGCCTCTTGCATCTCCTGCATTGGCTGGCTAATTCTTTACCACTGAACTACCTGGGAAGCCCATCTAGTGCACAGGATATTCTCAATAAATGTTATATACTTTCTTTCTCCTTTTAACTCTTCAGCAGTGTAACTATGGAGACTCCATGGAGTGAAGGTACTTGCTTTAGGTACTGAGGGACATGAGACTTGTGCTAACTTATATTTTTCATTCTTCCCTCTTTCTCTCAATGCAGGGCTTACCACCCAAAAGATGGCAGGCAGACGCTACCCACCTGAGCTGTCCAGAGCCTACAGTGTTTGCTTTCTCACCGCTGGCCCCACGTCGGCGCTCCTTGCGAGAGATGTGGATACCAAGCTTCCAGCAATCCAAGAGAGAAGCCCGGGCACTCAGGTGGCTGGTTGATAGGAATCAAAACTTTTCAACTCAAGAGTTTTGGGCCCTAGTATTCAAGGACTAATATCCAAAAAGTATTAGAGTTTTACTCTCTAGGTTGCCTTACTGTTTGAATATAATAGCTGCTTTGTTGACGCTGCATTAGGATGAGAGTAAATGGCTGCAGTACTCAAGTGAGCTCTGTCCAATGATAGATATGAATTACCCTTAGAGGTCGCTTCTCTATTTTTTATACTAAAAAAAAAAGCAAGTATTGGGTTGGCCAAAAAGTTTGTTTAGGTTTTTCCATACCATCTTATGGAAAAACTTGAATGAGCTTAACATTTCTTACCAAATACTAGTCACTTTCAGACTGCATGTCTGGACACATGTCCTTGCCGTCCTGAAAATTCACCTGCTGCAGAGTGAATGTTTTCTTTGCTGTGAGGAACGAGGTCCTGAAAAGAAGGCAGAGGTGTATAGCTGTGGGTTCTTCCACTCCCCTCGCTGTCTGCATTGATTGGTATTTGGCAAGCCCGGTGTCCTGACGCTGAGCGTGAACAGGAAATGCATTAGAACTTGGCAGTGAGAGGTGCCAGCTGTTGATTTCCAGGGCCGTGAGTGTGCCGTGAAGGCTGCGTGAGGTTGATCCACGGTCGCCTCAAGTCTACAGTACGCAGCGCGTCTCCATCTCCCCCATGCTCTCAGCCACCCCTCACACCTTTCTTATCACCGCTTTGCCCTGTATCCTCCCCCCGTTCCTTTTGTGATGTCATGCCTCCTCTTTGGATATTCTGAGCGATGAGTTCCCCGAGGTCCCATGTTCCACTGAGCAGAATAGTACCTCGAATCCTATGAGCTGGGCTGGATGGTCTGTGTGTTTGGATCGTGGTGAGAGCGCGTGCCTGCCGAACTCTCGTGGTATGGAAGCTGACTTGTCTTAGGGTGATGTACAACCTGTGGTGGGCAGCCCTTCATTTTGGGAGCATCCCCCGTCATTTCTGACCCTGTCACAGAGGACTTTCAGCTGTCTTGTCTGGAGCTTCTGCTGGAGCTTTATGAAAGAGAGGGAGAAAACATGAGCTCCCATTCTCTTTTCTTGGGAGCCTGGGAAGTCTTCTAGATGACACTTGAGCCTGTTGCCACTTGCCATGTGATGGCTTTGTAGCGGAAAGACGTAAGCTCCAGAGGACAGGAAGGGTCGTGGTACTCATGTGCCTGCCGTGGGACAAGGAGGAAGCTGAGGAAGGCACCCTTGACACCAGCTGCCCATTTATCACAGGCCGGTGTCTTTCGGTGCCTGCCAAGGGCATCTCCTCTTCGCAGGTCTGTCTCTGGCTGTGCCAGAGAAATAAGGATGAAACCAGAACATTCTTTTAGAGGCAAGAAGCGTCACAGGGCTTCTCACCTAGCACTGGGTTCTTTCCATTCCAGCTCTGCCATTAACTAAATATGATTTTGAACAAACCTCTTGACCTCCCTGGGCCTTCATTTTTGTGCCTAAGAAGAACACATGATTCTAATGTCAGCATAGATCTTTAGTTCCTTCTGATTACAGAAATGAAAATGCTTGAGAAACTCAGAGGGAATATGGGATGATGAGCTGTGACTCTACAGTAAGAAAAACCTGATTATAGTCCCCCCTCTTCGATGTACCATCTTTATTACCTTGGCCAAATTATTTAGTCTTTTAAATCTTTGGTTTGCTCATGTGTCATGTTTGCTCTCTGTGCAGTTGTTGTGATAATTAAATAAGTTTGTGTTCATGGAACTTCCCTGGTGGTCCAGTGGTTCAGCTCGGCGCTTCCAATGCAAAGAGTGCAGGTTCAGTCCCTAGTTCTACGTGCCATGCAGCCAAAAAGTAAAAATAAATAGATACTGTAAAACAGACAAGTAAATAAATAAGTAAATAAGCTTGGGAGGTTATATAGCCAGCCCCGATAGGCCATTACGATACTTGGAACTTTACTATTACAAAATCCTTAATTTTTAAAAAACTGATTGAGTAGGTAATTAAAGATTTTAGAGACCATCAATGTAGGTAGCAAGTGACATTAATGGTTTTAAAGCAAGAGCATTATCCCAGGAGCCTCACATAAATCGCTTCTTATATATACAGAGTAAACTACGATAGAGCAAGTTTACTTAATGGTGTTCTTGATGAAGTAATAAAAATGACTAATTTTATAAAACCTTGACCTTTGAGTATACGTCTTTTTAACATTCTGTGTGACAAAATGGGGCGTATGTATAAAACGCGTTTGCTGTACACCAATGCACAGCAGGAATCTCAAAGAAAAGCACTTGTGTGATTGTTCGAGTTGTGAACTGAACTTATCTGTGGCAAACCATTTTTGCTTAAAAGAATGTCTGGCAAACTGTGGTTGTTCAATGATGGATTTTTGTCTGTCACCTTCATGGGAGTGTAGTGCGCCTGTCACTTTAAGAGGCTTGATAGACTTTGTTGCCAGTGATAAAACTTCAGCTTTCAAATGAAATAACTGTATTTGTATAATTTCTTTTTAGATTCCTCATATAAGAGAGAGCATATGATATTTCTCTTTCTCTGTCTGATTTGCTTCACTCAGTTTGACATCTCTAGGTCCTTCCTCAGTGCTGCAAATGGCTTGATTTCTTTCTTATTTTAATGGCCGAGAAATATTCCCTTGCATATATATATATATGCCACATTAAAACTTTGGAAAATGAATTTCTGTCACTTTGAATTTGACAGTTTCCTGATATTTGAGATTTGTTTAAGAGGTTAACAGATGTTACTTCTGACATTGAATGGAAACAGAGATGATGATGTATAAAGGTGTTTTTAGTTTATTTCTTTGCTTTTATGATTGGAAGGAAGGAAGCAATAGTATTATATACTAGAGAGATAGGCATTTATTTTAAATAATTTTTTTGGTCGAAGAGTTCCATCAGTGAAAATGGAGTTTACAATGGATATTTTGAAAATGACAGATCACTTCAAAATTGGGGTGAGATAAAAGGTAATCAGAGCTTTCCATGTGGGAAATAAAGCCTTTGGTTTTTTTCAGTTGGGAAACCAGAAAAAAAAAAAGTTCAAAAAAACAAAAAATATTTTTAAAATATATTGAGGAAATTATTATTATTTGGGTCACTCAGAATGTCAGGCTGCCTGGAATTTATTACTTTACTCAATTTTTTTTTATTGCGCACTTAATATGTACCAGAAATTATTCTGGGCCAAGAGTCTACAGCAGTGAGTGAAAATGATAAAACCCTTGCTACCATTAGAGTTTACCTGCTAATTCTAGGAGTGGATGAAAATAGAAATGCCTTCAGAAAATACAAACCACTTCCAGGACGTTTTTGTTTCTTTATTCTGTTAGAGTCCCATGAGATGGAGTTTACTTTCTGAATTTCTGCTACTCTATTTGAAACATGAGGTGTGATATAAATGGATTATATGGATAGGAGTGTATTAAATGTGCTATATTGACAAGATGGTTCAAAGTACTGAAGGTTCGATTTTGGAGTGAGTTGGGAAGTCTAGAAGCAAATCCTTTCTCTGTTCTTTTCATTTTTTACTCCCTTGTTTTACTCCTGTTTCCTAGAAGAAGAGGCATTTGTCCTGCTGACATTGTGTGATTTCTGGCAAGAATAAGAACTGACTTGGGAATGGCAGTTAACAGGAGTAAGCTCACTGGGCAAGCAGTCCTGCGGTGTGGCTAAACTCCATCTGTTCACCTTCACGACAGGGGCTGGGGCAAGTCAATATTTACTAAGTTGTAGCGCCTGACAAAGTTTTATCTTCTAGGCTGCATTCAGCCATCGTGTATATAACTCATACACCATTCATAAGAAGACTCATTTCACCACTGAAATAATAATATCTGCTAGTCTGAAAGAATGCAGGTCAGTTAGATGAACATCTTTAAGTAGTATAGTATAATCACAGATGTCTTCTACTTCCTGTTTTCATGGTCTAACCTCTCAGCTTCAGTATGTCTTTAGCCTGGAGGTGATGAAGTGGAAAGAAGAAAATGAAACACGTCTTCTCTGACACCCGCTCCCTGGTTTGTTTGTTTGTTTTTGCAGTAACTCTAGCGATGCCATTGAAAGTATATTTTGATCATCTTTCTTTAATTGAACTATAATTGGTTTACAATTTATGTTAATTTCTGCTATATAACCAAGTGATTCAGTTATACATATATATTCTTTTTCATATTCTTTTCCATTATGGTTTATTACAGGATACTGAATACAGTTCTCTGTGCTATACAGTAGGACCTTATTGTTTATCCATTCTATATATAATAGTTTGCATCTGCTTATCCCAAACTCTGAATCCATCTCTCCTCCATCCCCTTCTTCGTGGCAACCACCAGTCTGTTCTCTGTGTCTGTGAATCTGTTTCTGTCTTGTGATTAAGTTCATCTGTGTCATATTTAAATTCCATGTATAAGTCATATTGTACAATACTTGTCTTTCTCTGACTTACTTCGCTTAATATGATAATCTCTAGGTCCATTTATGGTCCTGCAAATGGCAGTATTTCATTCTTTTTTATGGCCGAGTAATATTCCATGTGTGTGTGTGTGTGTGTGTGTGTGTGTGTGTGTGTGTGTCTAATATCTTCCATCTTCTTTATCCTTTCAGCTGTCAATGGACATTTAGATTGTTTCCATGTCTTAGCTATTGTAAATAGTGCTGCTGTGGACATAAGGCTACATGTATCTTTTCAAATTATGATTTTTTTTCTGACTATAGCTCCAGAAGTGGGATTGCAAGATCATATGGCAGCTCTATTTTTAGTTTGAGGAACCCTCATGCTGTTTTCCATAGTAGTGGCTGCATCAATAATGTAGGAGAGTTCCCTTGAGAAAAAACATTTTTAAGGAAGGTGGAAGCTCATTTTAAAGGAAATGCGCTTTTACTTCACCTAAGATGGTGAGGCAGGACATCGTAATGTATATATAGCTTATTAGTTCTGTGTCACTAGTAAGCAACGGATCCAGACTTCAAACCCAAGACTGTTC